CTTTCGTGACCCAGGACACGATGAACGGACAGGTGAACATAAAAGAGTGCCTCCAGAAGCGGCTGCTTCCTCTCCTGAAGGCCCACAACGTCCCAACAATCTTCTGGCCGGATTTGGCCTCATACCACTACTCCAAGGACGTGCTGAAGTCAAGGTTTCAAAGACTCATTTCAGCTAAAACAATGTTTTTCTAAATTATGAAATAATTAGATGCCATGATCAAATTTTGAATTGGTAGGATACAAGAAGAGGTTGCAAAGAATGTGTTTGACGTATTAAACCTGTTTATTTCACTTCATGAGAGTCACAATCAGCGATTTTTCACAAACTCACTCACTCACTCACTCAGCGATCAGCAAATCGCTGATTGTGACTCATAGAAAGCAAAATTTACAGGTGTTATGTTTCCAACGTATGCTTTGTAACCTCTTCTTGTAAGTTACAAGTAAAACATGCCATCATACCATCTTTTGGTTTTATTATTCCGAAAAACATCATTTTAGCTGAAATGAGTCTTTGCAACCTTGGCTGAAGTGGTATGCGGACAATAAGGTCAATTTCGTGCCGAAAATGTTCAACCCTCCCAACACTCCGGAGCTCCGCCCCATCGAGAAGTACTGGGCGATTATGAAGCAGCACCTTCTTAAACGACCTAAGGTAGTGAAGACAGTCGAGGAACTGAAGAAAGTATGGGTTTACATGCAAAAAACGGTTGATTCACAGGTTGTGCAGAATCTTATGGCCGGGGTTAAGGCCAAGGTGCGGGCATTTGCGTATGGACTGTAAATAAAATACGAGTAAAATGGTAAAATGAAGTTTAATAGTTATTTCTCAATCCCTGAAAATTTGATGGCAATCGGATGAAAACTCGAATTTTGCGAATCAATTTTGTGTGTGGCAATTTCATCGTGGACACCCTTTAAAGCAGAACTGTCAATATCACTGTGTATTGTCGAGATTTTGCAGCACTGCCTGTGATGTCACGACTGCTGTTCGCAGTATGGAATGTTGTGCTGACGTAACTTCTTCTTCTTTCCTTTATTTAACGTCGGTCTCTGTTCCGCAAACTAGTGCCAATCAATTCGACAATCGAATATGCATGAAGGCAGCTTCCACACCTGCGTAGGATATCACCCCCATCTTTTTTCGACCAGCTCTACAGGGGGCTTCTCAAAGGTTTTTTTAAACTAGCATTTTCAAGCCGGTCAGAAGCCAATCAAGAGTGTTATTAACCAGTAATATTGCATATGTTCAGATGCAATATTTCTTAGTCTCTTTGACCAGATTGAATTCCATTCGATTCATTGCATAAATTGCGATAGTTGAATGTAATTGAATGCAAACAATTCGAAAATTTTATGTTTGCGTTGAATAGGTGTAATTAAACATTTTATATGAATAATATTTTTCATTGTGCTATTAGTAAGTTAACTTATGAGTGTCATGAAATATTCTGTTGACATTTATAAACAGTTGAAATTTTTCTAAGAAATCTAGAAACATAGCTAGGGTATGTGTACCAGTTTTAGGCCCTAGTGGTGGTCGAATTGACCATATCTTAAATTTCACATTTTAACATTCTTTCTAAATTTGTTTCGCAAATAAAGCCATTAAAATTTATTTCAAATATGCCCCTAAGATCAAAAACTGGACCACTAGTGCCAATACTGGTACACTTATCCTATGTAAAATAGATTCAAACGATTACTTTCGTTTGTAAATAGTGCTTATTGTTGCTAGAAAATATAGCCGTTCCCTTCCTTTGCCTTTTCGATCAATCTTTTCACGTTTTTAGTTCAAAATAATTGGAGTAGATCTTTTGGTCAAAACATTTTCAATTGGCCGCAGCTGAGAAGCATATGGAGGATTAAATCCTTGGGTATTACAGGTAAGCACTCAATTTGATTTATCGTTCTGCTTGCGAAAACTCCTAATTTGCGGAGTCGTATTTTTCCTCCTACGAATCCAAAATGAAATCAAAGGTTGATGCAATTGGCTCCAAACATTTAAAAAAAGTTTAACGAAAAAAATGGTACATACATTTTTCTTCTAAGTATACAAAAAGATTTAAGATAAGAAGAAGTATGGAAGTAGAGTTTCCCCACTTTGTTGCCATAACTACAGAAAAACAATACGTATGGTTTACAATGACATTTCAGGATTAATCGTTGGGTGGCAGGTCATTGCATACAAAAATTTATACTTTTAGATTGCAAACGTTAATATATTTGTTTACTGTGTGACGCGAGGTGAGGAGCTAGCTATATAGTTACAAATAAAGGACGTAAATAGTTAAGGAAAAACCAAGCCATAAGTTCAAAAGTTTTAAAAAGACAGAGAATTATAAACCACGCTATAATTATTTTAATAGAATTGACTACCCCCTTGATCGCCTTTCTCATTTTACTGCTGGTATAATAAATTTGACAGATCGATGCCTTTCTATACCACTTGAAATCACTAAAATGGGGTCGATTTTTGATTATCGAGTTCCACATATATTGTGACTTATATGATGTTTTTTTTTTTTTTTTTAATTATAGTCACTTTAACGCTCTTGGGTCATTCGTAACTTGTCCGGGGGTGAGATTAGAACTCGTGACTTTGGCGTGAGAGGTATGGATGCTAACCACTACGCCGGGGTCGCCCCCTTATATGATGTTTTATGCAGCTCCTCAAAATGCTAAGAAATTTGCAAAACTTCTACAAAGTTTGCTACACTACTTCTACGTTTCTCGTTGATTTTCTGCAAAGTTCCACGAACGAAATTTTCAGCTTCTACACAGTTTGCAGAACTTTTCCATGTTCCTTGTTTTTACGAATGTTTCTGAAGATCTATGAAGCTCCCAGAATTACTATGTTTTCCCTGAACTTCTTAGAAGTCCTTGAAGTTTTGCGAAGTTCCCAGAAGTTAAAGAAAAATCCATTGGCTTTAATAAAATCTGTGTTAGTGGTTCAATTTTATTAATCGCTGTTAAATAGTAACATCGAAGTTGACAAGCTTGACAAAATTGATCGCCCGTTTGATAGATTGAATCGCTCATTTGGGGCTGTTTTTGGAATTCTTGACCCCACACCTCCACTCCGTAGACAATTATCCATACAAAAATTTTAAAATTTGTACGGGCAGTGGATAGCGACCAACCCCCCCCCCCCCCCCCTAAACTGTCTACGAAGTTTAGGAACAGCCCCTAACGATTTTAAATTGGCTCACTACTTGACTAGCCTATTGGTACCAAGCAAACGATTAGCGTATCCCATTCTAGTCGAAATTCTAGTACTACACTATGTTTGTTTTGATTTGCTATGAAAGTTTGACAGATAAAATGAGGGGTTCATGGATTTTCTTATGTTTCGAGGGGTGTATCGATTAGCTTGGGACCGAAGATAGTACCAGAAGAAACCAAAAAGTTGAGCACGTTTCTTCGGGACCTTTTAGTCTTAGAGTTACCTCTATGGTATTACTCCATCACTATTGAGAAATGATGAAGTATTCGGTTTTGATACAGTTGTCATTCGTGCTTTCATCGCAAGAATCGATTCTAATTGAAAAGTCCCGCTATGTATACCCTTCGAAGAGTGAGAGCATCCTCCAAAGATCAGTTAACATTGGATTCCTTAGCAACAAAAGTATGCGATGATACCGATAATGACCATGCAGAACCCTATTCTTAACCACTTCAAACTAGGGAACAAAGCTTAGGAATTACATTGATGAAGACTAACTGACTCATGTTTCCTTGTTTCAAGATCATCCTCGGTCCAGACAACCCGACGATTTAGCACCATTAACAAGGCATAAAAAGTAACCAGAACTATGATGTATTGCTTTGATTACTGAAACATGTTGTTCCCCTAGATTGAAGTAGTCAGGACTAGATCTTACCAAAGACCATGTTTAATAAGAGACGCGCGGAGAAATGGAAAGTAAATCTGGTGGCACGGCTAACTAAGTTAATTTGTCTGCAAGGTGACTTTTAATTTGAGCTTCTTCCAACCCAGTGCGAAACGGAACTTTCTCTCTTCGGTCCCAAACTAATCGATTCACCCCTCGAAACATAGGAAAATCCACTAAACTCTCATTTTATCTGTCAAACTTTCATAGCGAATCAAAACAAACATTGTGTAGTACTAGAATTTCGACTAGAATGGGGTACGTTAATCGTTTGCTTGGGACCAATAGGATAGTCAAGTAGTGAGCCAATTTAAAATCGTTAGTTTCGTATTGATTGTTGCTATTAGGCCGCTAGCACAGTGAATGTGAGTCGGGCCGACCATGAGAAAGAATATTAATCTATATACTGCCCATAAAAGCATAACTGTCCCATATGAGTAGGAAATCAAGCAAAGATGGGACAATTATGCCAGTATCGGCAGTATACCTATGGGAAATGTATGTAATGTTGGCCTAAGTGTCCCTAATTTGGGCCCATACATAAATTCAGCAATCGACTAAATTTTCAATAGCAACCAACAACCAGCGGCCGGAACCGCCGCAACAAAGTTTGTTACTCATCGCCCAAGTGAGATCATTTTTCTTTGCTTACTTCAAGCAACCGCCCTCCATGCACCGGAAAAATCCAATACTGGCACCCCTTCCGAGGAGAATCAGTGCAAAACGTCAAAAATATGGCCGAATTGTGCAGTTTCATTGCTTCACAGGTAAATAGGAGTGCACCAATCTGCGCTGCCAGTTAAGACCTAGCATGGTGGCGTAGATACTATCTATCGAGTCTGATTCATCATCACTGCAAGAGGCAGCCAACAAGACACAGGCAAAAACACGACCAATGAACTCTTGCCCGGCACAAAGAACAACAACCACTCAACCAACCGAAAGCCGAATACTGCTGCTACTGCTGCTGCGGCACATTGTTGGCTCAATTTTTATCGGTTTTTTTCGTTGCCGTTCAATAAATCCACTTCACATAGAAGGTTCGGTAAAAAGGGGCGTTTTTTGGGGGATTTTATGACCGAACTTGCTTACGGCGGACACTTACCTTACTGCTGTCCTGCTGAGGAGCTGCTAGAGCCGATGTGCCTATGGCAGCGGCTCCACCCGATGAGCTATTGGAAACGCCGGAGACCGAATTTGACGATGCTACTGGTCCTGCAGCAGCAGCCGCCGCAGATGATGAATGTTTCGTTCCTGACGATTGGGGATTAGTACTGTTACTGTTTGACGAGGACGACGGGGACGTTTCCGCCGTCAGATTGATTGCTTGGTCCTCTCCAGCTTTATCGGGGGCCTTTGGTTGACCCCCGAGCTCCGGAGACGGAGCCATCTTGGAAAGCGTAAAGCGAAGAAAAATAATATCCGGAAAAACGGAGCTTCTTTTTCGCCTCCACTTGCTAGATGTTCGGATCTCTCACCCGTGTGTTGTGTGTGCTATTAGACTCCTATATACTATTCGATTGCTTCTTTTTCTTCGTGACGAAGGCGACGGCGACGACGACGACGACGGAGATTGTGAGATTATATTATTATTATTATTGAATATGTTCAGCGGCCACACGGCGCTGTCAAAAGAAAAAAAAAAATCGCCACTAACACACACCTGTGCTTTCACTTTGGAATCCCAAAAACCGAGTGAAAGAAAAATCGCAGAAAAATGGACCACTGATTTCCTCTCCGCGGGGCCCGACTTTATGGGGTCCTCCCCAGACGACACGCTGCTCGGAAACCTTCCTTCTAGGTTCGATTCTTTGAAGCACTTGTCTCCTGCTTCTTCTTATTCTACACCACTATTATTGGCCACCCCACGGCACACAATTGAATCGATGATCCTCTTCTTCGTGCGATCGTCATTGCGATTGTCTGCAGAGGAAGAAAATAGGTTCGCACACTGCACTCACTCGCGCACCCGAACTTCCGCTTTTCCACGGTTCACATTTTCCCGAGTTCTTTCTTCGCTTCTTCTTCGGTGGCAATTTCCGCAAAATTCGAAATCAAAGTAAAAAATCCACTCTTCTCACTGGAACGACGACGATGATGTGCTGCTACGATCGCGACGATGAATTTGAGCTGTGCGAGCGATGATGAGTGTGTAGAAAAAAGAAAATGTCACCGCCGCACACACACATGCACACATCCACGCATCTCACGCACACACCAGCAATCAATCACACACGCACACCAACACGTAACGCACCGAGCACCGCAGCTCTTTGGCAAACCGAATGGGGCTTTTTACTCACTCACCAATTTTCGTTTCTATGTGTATGTGTGTGCTACAGCCGATACGGATACGTACTTCGTCAGAGAATATGGGGGTCTCGAGAAAGAAAAAAAAAATCCTTCCCCACTTCTACTACACACTACTCTGTGCCCCCAATCACTCTGGCACCCACTGCTGCTGACGATTCGAACAAGTTCTTCTTCTACGAGTCAGACGATCGAACATTTTGACCATTTTCGATGCATACACTTTTTACTGTTATCTTCCAGCAACGGGGGTAGCGCACAGGTAGCACCCGAGAAACTCAACTTTTCTTTATCACTGCAAATTCACCTAGTTTTTATCTACTCTCCACTCTTGCTAATACCTGTAGACGGCGATGATGAGACTCGCACTTTACAGACTCGACAGATTGCTCACTCCGACCGATGGTTAAAAAGAACTTGGTTCAATTTATTATTCGCACAGTGATGATGGCTTTTTCACCAACAAAAAAAGTATGATGGGGCTCGCGTCCAGTGCTGCCAGGAAGAGACAGAAAATGAAGCAAAAAAGAAAATTAGACCTATGCAGAACGCAATCAAGCAAGCAGGTTGTCGATTTGCCGTGTGGAGAGTTTTTTTTATGGATGGTCGGTCGGCAGTGAGGTCGGTTATACTGGGGTGTAAATATTTAAGAGGCAATCGAAAGTTTTGTCAATGGGATTTTGAACAAGAGGTATTTAGTAGACTCCCATCAGTGCTGATAAAAATCATTTCTACTACACTAAATTTAGCTGAAAATGAATATGAATTTTGACATAGCAACATTCTCTTGATCACGGCAACCTCTGAGTATCGAAGTCAACATTCGCTTTTATTAATTAATATTCGTCTTCTACTTGGTAGCGAGCTTGGCAGGGATGATTGTGAGGATTAAATGCAAAATGATTATTTTCATTTTACACAAATATAGCGCTGAAGAACGTGTCGAGTTGGTTTTTACACACATATCGATGGGAAATTATAGCATCATGCTGAATTGATGATAATATCGAGGTTTTTGGGTCTGGGGTCGACAATATTCAAAATAGTCATTTTGCCCAAACTGAATTTGATTATCTCTAAAGCAATCATGTCTGATTTTGACAATTAACCACTTTATTCGAGCACTTAAAATGAGGTTTACTACCACTCGAACTTTGAAACAAAACATTATTTTGAGATTTTTTCTTCTAGAACCTCGAGAAAAGTAGCCAACATTTGTGCGTTTCATAAAAAATATAAATTATTTTGTGAAATCGCTGGTAGAAAGTCACGCCAAAACTGCTTGACAAAGTGGTCAATTATTTTGGGTTGGATACCCTAATAAAAATTGTATGGTTAATTTGCTTAACGACGTGTTCTGGGTATCATCCAAACCATTTGTGGAATAGTTCAATGATTTGGGTTATCGTTCGTTTATGGTTATTTTTTATTAGGGTAATCAAGCACGGTAAGTTTTAGGTGAAGCTTTCGGATTTTCCCAGACATCACGTACTATAAAATTTTATAACTTAGACATCGTTGTGTAGTGAAATGGTATAAGGAAATTATCTCAGCAAACCAAACAAAATATAATCTGAAAAAATGTTTTCCACGAAAAGGTTCACCAACCGGTGGAAACTAACGATTTTTAAATTGGCTCACTACTTGACTAGCCTATTGGTCCCAAACAAATCGATTAACGTACCCCATTCTAGCCAAAATTCTAGTCCTACACAATGTTTGTTTTGATTTGCTATGAAAGTTTGACAGATAAAATGAGGGGTTCGTGGATTTTCCTATTTTTCAAGGGGTGCATCGATTTGCTTAGGACCGAAGTGAGTACCAGAGCTGAGCCAAAAAATTGAGCACTTTTCTTCGGGACCTTCTAGTCTTGAGTTACCTCTTTGGGTTCACGGTGGAGGAAAATCACAATAATCAGACCCCCTTCACTCTTTGGAATTTATAGAGACAGATAACAGCGTCAAACGGATTATGTCGAGACAACATTGAACCAACAATCGAAACAATACGAAACTAACGATTTTAAATTGGCTCACCACTTTAGTAGCCTATTGGTCCCAAGCAAACGATTAACGTACCCTATTCTAGTTGAAATTCTATTACTACACTATGTTTGTTTTGATTCGCTATGAAAGTTTGACAGATAACATCAGGGGTGTGTGGATTCATGCAGAACATGCAGGGGTGAGTGAAATAGCTTGGGACTGCTTGGGACCGTTGTTCTGGTACTGAGTGAGCCAAAAATAATAATGATTTTCTTCGGGACCCAGTAGTCTTAGAGTTACCTCTATGGTTGAACCAAGTTGAACCATAGAGGTAACTCTAAGACCAGAAGGTTCCGAAGAAACGTGCTCAACTTTTTGACTCAGTTGTTATACTCTCTTCGGTCCCAAGCTAATCGATGCACCCCTCGAAACATAGGAAAATCCACGAACCCCTCATTTCATCTGTCAAACTTTCATAGCTAATCAAAACAAACATAGTGTAGTACTGGAATTTATACTAGAATGGGGACCGTAATCGATTTTCTTAGGACCAATAGGCTAGTCAAGTAGTGAGCCAATTAAAAATCGTTAGTTTCCACCGTTGGAAGAAAATACACACCTAAATCTATGCATGTACGAACACACACCACTGAGCGGACGTTACAGTGCAATCAAAACACGAAGCGATGATCGTCATCATTCAGTTTCGGCAGCTTCCGTTTGCGTTTGCATTCGCCAGCGTTGTCAAATATCTTCCTACGTTATAAAATAGTAAAGTAATCATTATTCCAACGTAACTTTTGAGTAGAATGTGTGCTGCGTTGGTCATGCAAGACGACATATTTTATTGCGTTTGTTTAGCAATGGTTTCGGTACGTTGCATTTCCAGTGGCTGGAATATTTAATTCTTAAGGGAGAGGGAATGGTTTTCCATGTTTATGTATGTTTAGATTATTTTAAGCAAGAGGCTCGCAAATCATCAATTACTATTGGAGATTTGCATCTAACTGATACTGGTGGTGATATTGGAAACTCTTTCATTCGAAAGTAAAACATATTACAAGCTCATCATGATGCGAATCCAGATTGATTGAAGAACGGAGCAATCACAAAAAAGTGTGAATATTGCTATTGCAATATAATGATGATGACTCCTGATCATCAACGTGCACGCTGGTATCTGTCATGCTGACAGCAGTCAGTTGTTAAGCCCTGGTGATGAAGTTGATGGTGAACTTCCAACAGTCTCAATGTGCACTCACCAGATGGCACTGCGATCAAATAAGGGTGGTGTATCCCTTGTCTTGTACGAGGAATCTAATCAGTGGGATATCTTGTTAGTTAGATAGCTTTGCTTCAGCCTAAACTTGTCCGATAATTTTAAAAATCCCCAAAACCGATGTTAGTTAAGATTTGGTCGAGGATTTTTGGGCATCGCTTCAATAAACAATAACTTCAATCGTTTATTTCTTGTGCATATAAGCTCCCTCTCTCTCTTGTAAACCAACAACACAAACAAGTAGATGAACAGCTATATGGCAAGCTCGATGGCAAGTTATATGGCTCTTGTTATATGGATGTTTAGGTCTATTTTGCTTTCTAGGGATGGATGGCTAAAGTGTAAAGTTTTTGGTAATGTGGTGGTGTTAGTGTTTCAATTTCCCAGATATTTATAGCTACCCGGGTATCTTAAAATGGCTGATGACTCTTCCAGGGTTTATCCAGTAACCAGTTATAAATTTCGGTAATTATTTATTAAAACTTGAACTTCGTCAGGATTTCCCCCGGAAGATTTTTCCGACAATTTCTGGAAGTTTCTTACAACATCTCCTGGAAGTTTTTTTTTAAACTTGCCCTGGAAGAATCTTCTACCTTCTCCCGCAAATGTCTTCCATTGTTCAACGCAAGTTTTTTCGTTCCAACAGTATCTTCAGATTACCCTCAGAAGTCCTACCATAGAGGTAACTCTAAGACTAGAAGGTCCCGAAATAACGTGCTCAACTTTTTGGCTCAGCTCTGGTACTATCTTCGGTCCCAAGCTAATCGATTCACCCCTCGAAACATAGGAAAAACCAATAACCCCTCATTTTATCTGTCAAACTTTCATAGCGAATCAAAACAAACATTGCGTAGTACTAGAATTTCGACAAGAATGGGGTACGTTAATCGTTTGCTTGGGACCAATAGGCTATTCAAGTAGTCAGCCATTTTAAAATTGTTAGTTTCGTATTGATTGTTGGTCCTACTGGCTACCGCTGGAAGTGGATTCCCATTTCATTCTGACTTCCCAAAGATAACTTAGATAACTATTCTGAAAGTTCCCGGAAGTCTCTCCTAGCTTCGCCCAGGAATTTCTCACAAATTGTGTCAGAAGCGTTCGGTTTCGCTTGGAAGATTCTTCGCCAGGAAGTTTTCCTGACTTCGCACTAATGATTCGTACAACTTTCTCCGGAAATTTCTATCAATTTTCCCCAAAAGATTTTCCAACTTTCTCCGGAAGTTTCTTCCAGCTTTCCTGACGGTGGTGTATTTCTAGACCCACCCCCCTCCCCTCTGGATAGGCTCTTACATTTTCCCTAAGGAAGTCTTGGGTTGTGTGGTCATTTTTAATATAAAATATGTTTTTTTAACTAGTTCGTTTATTTGGAAGGCTCAATCGCGTTAGCTTTACGGAGCCGATAGTTCATTGTTCTTTGTTTGTAACAAAATTCACTTAATTCAATGTCTAGTAGGAGTTGGGCCGAATACTCGCGGCTTACTCGAGGTTAGAGAGGTACATTGTCGAAGGATAGGATCAGGGGAGGAGCTTGAGATAAAATATGTTTAACATGGTTTTTTTACAAAAAAAACCGTTTCTCGGGAAGTCAAACTAGTTTCTTGGGAATCGGGAAGTGATATTCTGGTAAATTTTCCGGGCAGAAAGCACTAGATGGTGTGATTTCAAGACCAAGGAAGTAGGAATTTGGCCAAATGTTTTCAGAAGATTAATTTTAGCGCATGAAAATTAATACTCAATCTCTCAAAATCGGTCAAAGAGGTTTCACATTTTGTTGCACTACATGCCTGAAATGAGGAAACTCATCATTAATAATTATTATTAATAATTACGGTGTACCGTGATTAGCAACATTTTATTTACCAGTATTCATAAAGGAAGAGGGATTTAAATCTTTGATGATATTTAGCTGGAAAAAGTCAGAGTTTGGGTCAACTCTCCCCAGAAGCGTTCGTTGTTTCCCCTGATACTTCTGCAAAAAGACATCAATAGACACGAGTTGAAAAAAGTTGAACAGGAACGGGTTGAATTTGCATCGTCTGGTATTGTTGTAATGCTCGATATTTAGCACAAGATGAGCATTCTACATCCCAGGTCAAAATAGATTAGTTCTGGCCAACTTCATAGTTGATTCTATCCTGAAACTTATATGAAGTGAAGCGATTTTAGAAGGGATGTAGGAACCACAACATCCAATTTTTCATACTGGGATCGTCCAGAATCCCCCTTTGGATTGACTGGATTATTTCGAATCCCCCCTAGACTGTCATGAATCCCCCTCAATATTGAGTGAAATCCTTCCTGTGATTGTGCGGAATCTCCCCTGGGATAGTCCATATGCCTTCTTTGGATTTTCCGAAGTCCACTTTGATATTGTTGGGAAGCCGAACTGGGATTGTCTGAAATTCCCCTTATTCCTGTTCGGAATCTCTACTGAGACTGTCGTAAACCCCCTTTGCGATTGACTGGAACCCTCCTAGGGATTGTACAGAATCCCCCTGTAATGGAACGTCATCGGAATGGCAGTAAAGCAAGACAGCTCTGACTGTTCCGTAAGTTCACCATAAAAATCCTCCATCGATTTTGAGGGGGCAGCTTGTAGTTCAGTTCGTACACGTGCAATTGCCCTTCCATTGCCGAAAGATTTTCCCGGTTAAGCATTGCAAACGCACCGTTTAAAATGTTGTTGCTTTGCTTTGCTTGACAGTATCGGCAACAATCAATTCGAAACTAACGATTTTAAATTGGCTCAATGCTTGACAATAGGCTGGTCCCAAGCAAACGATTAACGTATTCCATTCTAGTATAAATTCCAGTACTACACTATGTTTGTTTTGATTTGCTATGAAAGTTTAACAGATAAAATGAGGGGTTAGTGGATTTTCCTATGTTTCGAGGGGTGCATCGATTAGCTTGGGACCGAAGATTGTACCAGAGCTGAGCAAAAAAGTTGAGCACGTATCTTCGGGATATTCTGATCTTAGAGTTACCTCTATGGTATCGGTTGCTATGTGTATTTGATGTTGAGCAACGCGAGTTACCCAAGAGTTATTCAAAATTAACTCCGACTTTACTCATGATCGAAAGCCAAGTCAAAAGCTGTCATGCCCCAAGCTTCAAACCGAATGGATTTTTCGAAAATTCAAAGGCTTTTTGGTGAGCAAACCAATGAAAAAACTACGGTACACGATCAAAATACGATATTGACAAAGTTTCAAGGAAAATAGGCGAAGCATTTTGGCGTAGCAAAAACAAGATGTAAACAAACTGGCGAAATAGACCTAAAAATAATAATATTGCAAGTTACACGAAACGAAAATCAATTATTTTATTCATGTGCTTCACTTGTGCATTTTTGCCAAAACATCAGCCTTATACATTCCATAAGACAAACCGCATAGGTCCTATAAGAATGCATAAAAGGTATGTGTGACCGCTTATACATTTCATTTGACACATGATCTTCATTAACTTTTTGCAAGGTATCTGCTTATTAGTTGACTGATACATTTTGATGAATAATCAGCAATATAAATTTGCCAAAAGGTAAAAGGATATTTCTATCCGTGTACAATAGATCTACGATATAATATAGTATGAATTTTCAACAATAGAAAAACAATAAAATTAATGATATATGGCTCAAGTTTGTTCGGGAAAAAGTGATTTTTTGTATGGTTAAGATAGATAACATCCCTCAATTTACCATAGATCCTATTGTGGAAACAATAAACTTTATGGTTATTTTATCGTTGTTGACAATACGATTTATTGTAAATACAATAAATTCTATTGTATGGATAAAACGAGGGATACAATACATTTAATTGTTCTTTTTTTTTACGGGTTCTGAAGGGTGGTTGTATAATGTTTTTATTTTTACAGCTCCAAATAAATCCGGAAGTTTAATGAATACTTACTTTATAGTGATTTCTAACTCAAATTAAATCCGAAATTATTAATGAAAAGAAATCATTGCTCAACTGAATTCATAATTGAAAATAAAACACCATCGAAATTTCAAACTCGTTTTTCTGCAGTTAAGCATGATGCTATATTGGCCCTTACGAATGTTCACTGCCATTTTAAAGATCAGCAGCTTCAAAATTCTTGCAGCAATCTATAGATAATTTCTTAAAATCTGAATAAATCTGCATATATTTTACACAAATCTGAAATCTGTAATACAGATTTCTGTATTGAAAGTTGTATAAAAATCTGTACCATTCTAGAAAAATCTGTATATGTGGCAACACTGATCACAGTCCCGCACCTGTCACTGACACCAGCGCGCCGTCGTACACACGCAACGCATCACGCTTTTTGCCCGATGCATGCAAGTCGAAGCGAAGTGAAACAATCTGATCCGTTTAGTTTTTAATTTTGCTTATTGAGAAATAAGTAAACGACAAGTTGTTATCGTGTTAAATTTCCAGTTTAGAGTGCCAGAAATTATTCACCCCAGCTACAGCTAATGTAAATAAGTAGAATCGCGAAAGAAAACATCGCCTGCAAAACATGTTTCCTCCCAACAGCAATCCAAGCAACCCGCTATCGTTTGAACGCGAAAAAATCGAATACATCCGGTCCGGTTACGAATCAATCGGCATTTTCCCGGGATCATTCCAAAGAAGTGGACGCCATCGTTGCTGAACCATCAATCCTATTCGGTGAGTTAGTTAAATTCTGGTAATTTGATGAGAGTTTCCGATTGTTTTACAACTTTCCGCGTCAGTAAACCAATGCCCGATTTGCTATCGGAAATTCCACAAAGCGTATTGCCGTTTCAGGGAAAATAATTCGACGCAACTGACAGCCACAGCATGCTATTTAAACTGATAATCTAACGCCAAATAATGCTAATTTCTCTGAATTGGCACATTTTCAAACGACACGTGGCTAGACGAAACTGCTACCATAATACCATATTATGTCCCACATGTTTTCTTGTTTCAATAATTGTAACAAGAAGATAAGTAGGACATGAACTGTTCACGATTACTTTTTCGAAGGGACGTATCTGCTGTTGTAAACAATGCATTTGATCGTCGACTTTTGCGTATCTGGTAGCTTACCCACGCATGCTAACACTACCCCCTATCTGGTAATGGTGTAAGTATGCGTGGGCGACGATCAAATGCATGGTTTACAAAAGCAGATCCTTGCCTTCAAAAAAGTAATCGAATTTTTGTTTATGATAAAAAAACGGACAATGTCCTCCTTTTTCTCCAAACCTCAAGTGAAAACTCCTTTTCTATATTTTCATATGGTAACCCTACCTGTAAGCAGAACGGAAACGGATTTAAATCGCAAACCACGTGGCTCCAGCATTTGAAGGTAATCCATTCGAACGACCACCGTCCGTTGAAGTGTTCGGACTGTGAGAAAACATTCAGCCGATCATCCTCGCTTGCGCAGCACTGGAAAAGAGTTTTCTGTGCGTCATCTGCGAAGCTGCTGTTCATCAGAAAGGAAATCTCAAAACTCATCTCTCGGGCGTTTTCAAGCAATCGAGCGTTTTCCAAAATGTCCAATATGCTGCAGTATCGAAACGAACCGGGAGTGCAACAAGTCGGATTCCGGTGCGAAATTTGCAGTGGACTATTCTCCAGGCCTTACTTGTTGAAATCACACGAGCAAAAGATTCACGGCTTGGTGCGTGAGGAGAGCCCGAAGCCGGCACCACCTCCGGCGACGCTTCCGGTGCCGTGCATTACAACGGTGGTCATTCCGGCGATTCAAACATCGGCCATGATCGTGGCTAAAGAACGGGGGGAGATTCCGTTTGCGGTTCTGCACATGATGAACGAAATACCATTGATCGTTCGGGTGGTGGAGCAGGGCAAATACAGCGTTCTGAAAGCGGCGGAAAGTAACGATTTTCGCGAGTCGCAGCGTGGTGGACCGGGGCTAGAAGAGGCCAAATGTGTCTCGATTGCGGTGGTGGCAACAGTTTACCAAAAGATCAACGAAAAGGGCCAGCACTACTTCGAAATTACCGGACCAGTTTCGTGCTATCAGACGAACAAAATTCCACAGGTAGATCGAACGGCTGGGGCCCTTCAGGATTCGATTGCCAATACGAACTTACACAAGACGCTGACACAGTTGAATGCGACCGAAGTGAGCACGAACATTAACATGTTGCAGAAGGATTTGCGGCTACCAGGTAAATATTGTAGAATTTGTTTGAATCGAATATCCCTAGCGGTGAACAGTTACTGTGGCCAGCTTGACGTGCCGCCAGCGCTCCAGTAATGGGGTGTTTACATCTGCGCGAATTTGCTAGCGCTAGTGTACTAGCCAACTAGCATGAATTAAAATTGGTCCTGAAATCTCATGCTGGTAGACGCTGATGCCCTGTTTACATTATGCAGACTACTTTTTTTGCACAGTGCTAGTACACTAGCAAATCCGTATAGATTTAAACACCCCGTAAAGGACCCTACTTGTCGAGACCTGAAAATAACCATAAAAGAGAGCTTAACGACGTGTTCGGGGTATCATCCAAACCATTTGTGGGATAGTTTACCCATCCGGGATATAGTTCGTTTATGGTTTCTGTTTATTAGGGCATATATCTTGATCATTTTTGAGTAAATATTACATTTATTAAAATTTAACAATCATATAATTTGTTCAAGCATTTTCTAAATCTCACATCAAATTTAAATCGCTGAAAATCAGCTACATTTTGCTGATTTAAACATATGAAATATCAGCAAAATAATGCTGCTGATACTTCCAGCAATCTGAACGTTTGTCAAAATGGTAACACTTTACTGTGAACTGGCATTCGAAGGTAATAACGCTCTGACTTGCGATTGTAGAACAAGTGTATATTTCAGTTTCAGTTAGTTTTAATAATTAACCAATTGCGCAGATAGAATTCAATCTTGTTTTTATGCTGAATCATATTCTAACTTTCATTCGATAACTTCCTGTTATTTACGAATCGACCCGATACCATGTGGCAATAGTCATACGCAATCGATTATGCTTATTGCAAATATGCTAAGCTATGTAAACAATCATTTCATTCACTGCGCCGTCTGCGTGGGTTGTTGGTCTAGTAATCAAGTTTATTGCATTTGGGATTTCTTTGGAATGTTTATTTGAGACCCGGTGGAAATGCTTAGAATACATTTCTGTCATTTTGATTTACAAGTTTGTTTTTCATTTATTTTGCGCATCGACACTATTAATGGAAATGATTGCATCTTAATCAAACTGTTTTTCAATTGGTTTGCGCATCCACCACAACTGAATCTTAGGTGAATTTGCTGAGGTTGCAGCATAGGGGACGAACCCGGCTTAGTGATTCGAATTCTTACCTCTCACGCCAAAGTAACGAGTCACAAATGACCCAACAACTTTTAACTGATTTTGCAGTAGTTTTCAGCAAAATGTTACTGAATGCTTTACCAAATAATTCATTGACATCCCATCTGCCGTGAATTTACTGACAACAGTTAACATTTCCAGGTTAATTTTTACACGAAGCTTCATAACTTTATCCAATTATAAAAAATACACATCGTGTCCGGAATCGCGGGAACGAAAAAAAAAACTTCAAAGACAAAATTGAACTTTGTTGTCAGATAGCGCAGACAGGTTTTGCGTGATCTGTTATTTAAGTAGACAGGAAGCTCGGCTTACTGATCATGAGCAAATAATCTGTCATTATTTGCCTATTTTACTGACAATGCTTCGACAATGCTAAAAATACTAATACTGAATTCCAGCTAAAAGTTAAAGGTTAAGTGACCATTTCAGCATTTTTTTTGCTGAAACTCAAAGTCGAAATTTGGTCTTAAAATTGGTCTTTAGATCCTCTTCGAATTTTAAGCTTTTTCTAAGAATTCACTGGAGCTTCCATTTTTAAATATGCTTCAAATTCTCCGTATTCATGTATTCAGATTCTGGACCAACAATTAAAAATGATCTATTAGCTTTTATAAGCAAAACTTGTAATGCCAACACCATCGGGCAGGGGAAATTCTCCCGCCGAGAATTGTCTTCAAATTTTGCTCAGAATTATCTTGGAGTTCTCCTCTAAATTCTTCTGGAAAGGGACTGTTCATTAACTACGCAGACAGTTTTTTTTTTTGGATTCTTGACCCCCCCCTTGTATTGGAGTTTTCTTGTAATTCGTAGGAATGTCCTTGAAATTCGTAGGAATTTCCATGAGACTAGGAATTTCCTAGAAATTTGTTGGAATTTCCATGATTTTCGTTAAAATTTACTTGAAATTCGTTGGAGTTTCCTAGAAATTCATAGAAATGTCCTTTAAATTCGTTGGAATTCCCTTGAAATTCGATGGAATTTCCATAAAATTTGAAAATTGTTTTAATTTTCTTGAAATTCGTTGGAAATTGCTTGTAATTTAATATTTCATTCAAATTCTTATGAATTTCCTTGGAGTTCGTCGGAATTTCATTAAAATTTGATAAAACTTTGTATTTTTGGAAATTCTTAAGATTTTTCTATAAATTTTGTGGAGTTTCCTTGAAATTCGGTGGAATTTTCTAGAAATTCGTATGAATTTTCTTGACATTTTTTTAAATTTCCTTGAATTTGCTGGGATGTCCTTGAAAAATTGGTTGGATATGTTATAATTTCACTGAAATCATTGGGTTTTTTTTTTCTAAATTCCAAGAATTTATAGAAATTTCCTTAAAATTCTTCGGACTTTCGTGAAATTCTTAGGAATTTTCTTGAAATTCTTTGGAATTTCCTTGAAGATCGTTAAAATTTCTTTGAAATTCAATGGAAATTCCTTAAAATTTGATAGAATTTTCCTGAAATTCGTAGGAATTTGCATTAAATTGTGTAAAATATACATGAAATTCAGTGAAATTTTCTTGAAAGTCGTATAAATCTTCATGAGATTGGTGTAATTTCCTTTAAATTGTTGGAAGTTCATTAAATTCGTTGGAATTTCGTTGAATTCGTTGAAATTTTCTTTTTAATTTCCTTTAAATTCATAAAAATTTCCATGAAGTTATTGTTTCTTGAAATTTGTTGGAATTTCCATTAAACTGCTGGGATTCCTTGAAATTGAAATGAATTTCCTTGAAATTCGTAAAAATTCCTTGACATTCATAGGGATCTCCTTGAAATTTGTTTGAATTTCGAAAGTACTTCCTTTGAAATTGTTTGAATTTTCTTATAATTCGTTGGAAATTGCTTGAAAATCTATGAAATTTCCTTGAGGTTCGTTGAAATTTCTTTCAAAATTGAAGGAACTTTCATAAAATTTGATTGAATTTTGATGAAATTCTTAGTTATTTTCTATAAAGTTTGAGGAACTTCCGTGAAATTCGTATGAATTTTCGTGAAATTCTTGAAATGTCCTTGCAATTGTTGCCATTTCCTTGAAATTGTGTGAATTGGGTTGAATACGTTAGAATTTCATTGAATTCATTGCAATTACCTTGAAATTCATTGGAAGTTCCTTGAAATTCGTTTGAATTTTCTTGAAATTTGTTGGAATTTTTAAGAAATTTTTGGATTTCTTGAAATTTGTAGGATTTTTCTTGAAATTCGTCGGATTTTTTTTAAACTTCGTTGGAATTTCCTTGAAATTAATTGGAATTTCCTTGAACTTCGATCGAATTCCCTAAATTTTTTGGAACTTCCTTCAAGTTCCTGCTCTGAAGTGCTAAGAATTTTCCTAATGCCGTATGATATTTTCTATCTGTAAACTTATCAGAGCCTTTCTCGGAGTTCAGGTAATGTGCATAGACTTTTATTTAAAACGCTGGCTTGAGGAACATGCCAACAACTTTGGAGGCATTAAGAATTCTATCTACAAAAAAGTTAGAAAATTGTTTTTATACGCCTTTTTAATAGAAACTTAGCGATCGATTTAATCACTCGTGGTGAATAGGAGATCGTCAAAAAGAGTGTTGTGAGCAGAAATTTATGCCGTGAGATATACACTGATAAAATTTCAAAGATTATTTTTATGTGTCCCACACATGAATTTTTGCAATGTGATCAACAAATGATATCTATGTGTCGGACACATACTTAATATGTGTACACATAAAAGCCATGTGCAACCACACATACAATTCATTTGACTCGTAAATTTCATGTGTGCTTCTGGGTGGATTCTGTTTATGTGTGGTCACATGGAATTCATGTGAAATTTCACATGGAAATTCGTCAATAAAAATGTGTGGAATTTTATTAGTGTAGGAAGCGAAACAATTTGACGATGACAATCATTCATTTTTGTTTTACAAATCAAATGCTTCTGGTTCTGTACTGCTACTGTAAATACATACGATACAACAAATAAAAAAAAAAGTTTCATAAACTGATTATGTATTGCACCTACTGCTGAGAATCAAACCGATATCAGTTTCTTGGATCACTGGAGTTTCTATGTCGTTAATTTAATACTAATTTTGTCGTCGGACGTCGCATGTCCGGTTTGGCGGGCGTGCGACAATAAGATGCATTTTAAACTTTAATTTTATTTACAGTACATCATTTCCGAATTCACCCTATTCAGATAACACTTCTGAAATTTGTGAGTTTGACAGAACAACCAGCACCAAATTTTCGGAGTACAATCATAGAGGTAACTCTAAGACTAGAAAGTCCCGAAATAACTTGCTCAACTTTTTGGCTCAGCTCTGGTACTCTCTTCGGTCCCAAGCTAATCGATTCACCCCTCGAAACATAGGAAAATCCACTAACCTCTCATTTTATCTGTCAAACTTTAATAGCGAATCAAAACAAACATTGTGTAGTAGTAGAATTTCGACTAGAATGGGGTACGTTAATCGTTTGCTTGGGCCCAATAGGCTAGTCGAGCAGTGAGCCAATTTAAAATCGTTAGTTTCGTATTGATTGTTGGCAATATACTGGAGTTGTCAAGTTGCCCCGAGTTGAGTTGGTCCTTTGCTAATTTGCCAGGGGTATGCTGTGGTTGTCAAATCCAATATATAACCTCACATTGATTTTAGTACTTTGCTTTTTGGTACCCACTTTTTAGTTCGTTTCCCCCAATTCTGGTGCAATGGGGTAAAGAGCTCGTTGACATGACTGTTATATAAAGAATGATTTTCGACAGTCAAATCGCTGCTAAGGTACTATAAAGCAGATCTGAAAAAACACTGCAAAAGCTTTTGTTGTTGTATGGTTTGGCGAATC